CTATCTATCTATCTATCTATCTATCTATCTATCTATCTATCTATCTATCGGATAACAATTTTCAATATTTATTATTTACAGAACTGAATATCATATGTGTGTACAAATCTGTATCTATATACAGATAAAAGATTTTATATTTATGTATCTATATCTACCTATTAGCTAAGAATTTTCAATATTTATTAGTTTTACGCAACTGAATATCATATATATGGATGTGTGTGTGTATCTATCTATTAGAGAAGAATTTTCAATATTTCATTAGTTAGTTTTACATAACTGAATAGCTTGTATCATTTTTTTAAAAATCAGGTCATTGTTAAAATCCAGTTAGTATATACATAACAATGGCAATAATCAGCACAGGGTAAATCATGAAGTAAGATAAAGAATTATAGTAATTTCTGCCCACAGTGAAAGACTGATGATTTAACAGGGAGACTGTTGAATAAGACTGAAAGTTAGACTCCTAAGACCTTCTGCTAAGAGAAACCCACATTTTGGATGTGGTCCAATAGTATTATAAAATTATAAATAATTATATATATATTTATTTATATATCAAGTTTGTCACCGCCCATCTCATTGAACGACTCTGGGCGGTTTACGAAACAGCTAAAATCAATTAAAATGACAAAGTGACAAGAATAAATGGAAAGTAAATGAATCCAAGAATAATTGGCAGTCACTCATTGAAACATGGGCAGGCAGGCAGAAGCATTTATTTATTTATTTATTTTTAGAAAGGCAGCTAGGAGGCAGATGGGGGCTTCAGTGCTGGCTTCAGGATTGGGGGGTGGGCAGGATCGGGCTCCGTCATGGTGCCTTCTGACCATCCCAGCCCGAGAGATGGAAATGGATGGTTCACCTGCTCTTCTGGCCTCGTCTGTGCAAAATGGGCAGGACAAGGACAGTTAAAGCAGGGCAGGAGAAGGTCCTTCAGGAAGTGAGGTGGGGATGATATTTGTCTCTATCCGTAGGTTACAGAGATGGAGTCTTGGCCTCAGAGTTGGAGGGAGACCCCTGTCCAAATGGTGCCTGGTGGAGCAGCAGTTGAAGGACCAGGTAAGGGAAGCTATTCTGTGTTCTGGAAAAAGTTATTTTATTTATTTATTTATTTAGTAGACTTATCCCCACCCATCTCCCCGCAATGGGGGACTCTGGGTGGTTGAATGAAAATAAAGCAACAGCCTGTGTCTTGGACTTAATTTCGATCAGTGAACTTCAAGCTGTTTTTGACCAACCCCTCAGTGGGCCTTGTCTCTCTGGTTGAAACAGAAGAAGCATGTGGAGCATGTCTTCTGGCATTCTTACCAACCCTTTCACCAGATGTGGCCACATGTTTGTGAGTGCAGGTGCAACTGGGAAGCGTGAGGTGACCGGCATAGGCTCTCCTCCGGGTCATGTAACCAGAAGGAGGCAGGCTTAGAATGGAACAGTCATCAACTTTTAGAGTGATTGACCAATTGGTTCTTCTATAGCAGTGTTTCTCAACCTTGGCAAGTTTAAGATGTGTGGACGTCAACTCCCAGAATTCCTCAGCCAGCATGGCTGGCTGGGGGATTCTTGGAGGTGAAGTCCACACATCTTAAACTTGCCAAGGTTGAGAAACATTGTTCCATAGGGTTGCAATGGGGGAATTTTTTCTCTAGAACTCACAGCCTGATCTGCCCCATTTAAAAACCTGGTTTGTCTTTGGCTGGCTTCTTCCCACCCCAAATTTGGACCCTTTCTGTTCCCTTTTTGGAGAGTTACCGTGATGATAAAAGATGGACAGTCAGACAGAGCCCTGACTCTTTTATCAAAATTTCTTTCCAACATTCCATTTGGTTGGAAAGAGGAAGAAAAGGTAGAAATTCCCTGGAGTTGACCTCAGCTCCTGGTGATTACGTGGACACATTCTTTTGCAACACGATGGAAAAGGGTTTGTCGTGCCTTCTTCTGAGGTGATGGTTTGTTTGTTTGAAACCTGAGATTTTCTGGTGGTCTCCCATCCCAGTAATAACCAGGTCTGACCCTGCTTAGATTTTTTTTTTTTTTTTTAGATCTACCAAGGTTGCCAGGTGCTGGGATTTGCTGTGACCTCAAATAAATAAATAACTACATTATTTTGTATCCTGCATGCATAATCAGGCCGCAATGCAGAGACAGCAACAGGTTGGAGCTATCTCAGCCCACCAGATACAGCTTCCAAGCTATCGCTAACTCACGAACCTCCACCAGCAAGTCTGGGTACAAACTGGAAAAACCCTGACTGGTTAAAAAAAAGGGCATATATGCTTTCCTAATAGTAAAAGAATAGGAACGCCTCTCACTCTCTTTTTCTCTCTTTACACCCCCAAAGATTTTATGGAAGAGTACAGGAAGATTTTCCAAGATGATTTCAGTGACATGGATTCCTGGTTTCTGCCAGAAAATGAGATGGAACAGCAGCTACCGAGCTGGGCTGGTGGAAGTTACCTTGCTGAACTGGAAGGGTTTGAGAAGGCAATGCCATTCCATGAGTCCCTTGGCTTGAAAGGTAGATAGCATCCTGGAGAGTGGAGGAAAATGGGATGCAGGCACAGCTTTGCCACCCCAAATTATTTATCCCAACTGGTTCTTTATAATAATTCCTCCTTCATCTTAAGAGGGTGTGTGAATTTGCCTTTTTCCTCTTCCCTTTCCATCCCTCCTTCCTTTTCTGTTGTGTCCTTTACAGCTATGAACTTGCAAGCAAGGATTGCTTGATTTTCAACAGATCATCTAACAATGACCCTGGGTGTCACTTTGGCAGTAGATCAGAGGGATAAACAGCCATAAATGCCCCAGCCCAGACAGCCACCCTCATCACCACTAGAATAAACATTAATAGAATGATCTTCTCCTTTCTTTTTGAGGATTTCCTGAGTACACCAAGACCATCGTGGAACTGAAACAGGTTTCTTTTGATCCAGACTACAGGGAACCCTATCACGGTGGTGAGTTTTTGCTGATACATGGAAGGACAGAGGTTGAGAAAGCTTGTGGCACTAAGGAAAGACTTTTTCCTAATCTGGTGCTTTCCGGAAGCGTGGGGCATAAACTCTCATAATCCCCAGTACCTCATTTGATGGGAAATGAGGATTCACAGGTTGATTCAAACTTCAATGTTTGGGGTATTTAAAGCAGAACAGATGCTCAGTTTTGACTCAATCTTCTGTAGCTTCTAATTTTACGTAGTGATTTACGGTGTACTGTGTTGGCTGGGGTTCTTGAGATTTATCCTTGCTTAAAGCTTAATAGTGATTGTTAGTCCTTTCGATAGTATATTCAACCATTTATTAACGATGCTGCTGAAAATGATAACCTCTTTGATATTTTTAACCCCCCCCCGTTTCCTCATTTGTGCTTTATTCTTTTATTTTCTTGATCTGTTTTCTATTTTGCATTTGTGTTTATACGTTTTCTCTGAAAACTTAAAAAGAATCAAAGCAAAGCAGACAAAAGGCTGAGCAAAGGTTTCTTTTTTTAAAATTCTTCTTTTAATTCTTATACTGCGTAAGCTTAAAGAGTACAACAGAGCGAAGAATAAAAATACAAAAGGCAGAATAAAAACATAGAACAACGTAAAAGTGCTGCGATGGAGAATTCGATGACACATCCTCCCGTTCCCTTCTTTTTCCCCAACCAGTAACCACCACTTAAATATTTATGCTATGCTTTTAATATTTAATATTAAACATTGGGCATGTTTGCTTGTATCGGTTTAAGCCATTTCACCGGTTGTTTTTAATTAGTCTCTTGACCTTTTTCCTAGAAGCTGTATTACCAATATCTAAATCTGCCTTGCTGTGTAATGTGACTTGTATAAGGGAGCCATTCCTGCTTAAACTAGGCTAAACTTCTATTATGAATATATACACTCTCAGCTTTGCCACATTCACCAAAGGGGAAAGATTCCTTTATACTCATCAGTATAACTTTCAGTGCATCATTTTGGAAATGGACACAGCTAGGAAAGGACACCTACCTGTGTCTGTTTAAAGGGAGGTGGGATGGGACCTTATTGGTATTTCTGATCCAGCACGTGAAAGAGGAGGTGGTTTGGCGAGACGGCTAAGTGCCGAAGAGCTCTCTCTGCGGACGAACCCATGCGAGGTGTGCCTGTGTGCTCGTGTGACTAAACGAAACGACTCCCCCCCACCATTTATTCCCTTTTGAAAACATCCTATGCGTTTCATTCTGAAATTCGCTCCACCAATAATAGCTTTGCAGCAAGATAGGGCAGGAAAACAACATAACAGCACAATAAAAATTCCCCCTCCATTTCAACTGACACAACCAAGGAGTTAGAGCAACAAGAGGAAGTGAAGGTTTAAAAACTTCACCGAAATGTTGTAAGGCTGCCCGTTAGCAGCCTTCCCCTAAAAGCGGTCCCTTTTAGAAGGGTTAGACTACAACTCCCATGGTTCCCTGCCAGCACAACTCCCTGGGAATGATGGGAATGGCTATATATACACACACACACACACACACACACACACACACACATATACATATATATATAAATATAATAGGGATGAGTAGTAGGTGGACTAATAAAAACTGCTACAACAACAGGAATACTGTAGTGTTTGCCAAAAAGTAGGTACAGTCTAAAAGGCCATTTTCATTATATGTGGATGAGAATCCTTTCGAAGTTCCCAGACAGGGCACATTTTAGAAGTCACCAGGTCTCATTTATCAGAGAATCAGAGAGTTTTAGAGTTGGAATGGGCTACATGGATAATCTAGTCCAGTGTTTCTCAACCTCGCCAACTTTAAAACCTGTGGACTTCAACTCCCAGAATTCCCCAGCCAGCATGCTGCCTGGGGAATTCTGGGGGTTGAAGTCCACACATCTTAAAGTTGATGAGGTTGAGAAACATTGCTCTAGTCTAACCTTCTGCAATGTGCAGGAGAACTAGTTAAACCATCCATGAGAGACGATTGTCCAGCCTCTTCTTAGAAACTTTCAGAGATGGACAACCCACAGCCTCAACTGGTAGATGTTCCTCTGTTGTATAGATCTTATCATCACAAAGCTTTTTCTTCTGTTTAAATTTTTCCTTACATTCAGAAGGGTGGGTGAGATGGTGGCTGGCACCCTAACCCCAATTGAACAAACTACAATATAACTTTGAGTGTTACGCATATTCCACTATTGTTCATAAACCCTGGCTTATGGCTGAGTGCAGTGTGTGAATCCAGAATCCAGAATCCCCATCAATCCCAGTGTGATTCTGTTATTATAGCCATTCCAAAGTAGTCCTGACCTACATATTCTTTTTTAAAAAATATGACTGTGTTTGACATGTTTATTGTTTTATATTTTTTGCTGTACGCCACCCAGAGCCACTTCTTGTGAGATGGGCAGCCATATAAAATTTGATAGATAGATAGATAGATAGATAGATAGATAGATAGATAGATAGATAGATAGATAGATAAGGCATTGGTTTCTTAGCCTGGTCTGCTTTGTTGGGGTGGCACAGTAATTCTGTTTCTTCCTCATCCCCACCTGCACCCCAATATCCATTTAGGAGACAAGTGGGAAGATCCTGAATTCCTTCAGGGTCTTTTAACTCTTAGTACTAGAAGCTGTCCATCTGGAAGCATCCTCCCTCTGAGACTGGTGCCTGAGGACTTTTATAACCTGGAATTCTTGCCACCCATAGGCACTTATGGTTGAAGGTAGAAACAAGGGGAGAAAAGTGGTAGGACTACCGTTCTCCCATGATTCTGATGACACCTGTGCCTTGAATCCCCTGCAGCTTCAAGAATGGTCCTCCAACAAGACAGCGTCCCCCACAGCCTAGAGGAATCCGGCTGCCTCCCACCAGCAAATCAGCCTTGGCTCGCCCTGTATCCCGACTCTCCTGGAGAGCAGGCATCTTCAGCTCAGCTTCCTCCTGGAGATCAGCAGGAACAGCCGAAGGAAGGTAAAATCTCCAATTTGCTTAACTTTGAATAATTCCTGTCCTGCAAGCTACCTTCCAAGTTTTTATTTATTTATTTAAATTTATTTATTGTATTTATATAGCTGCCCATCTCACATAAAAAGTGACTCTGGGTGGTGTACAATTAAAAAGAATAAATACATAAAAAACGATTACAAGTAAAAAATAACTATAAAAGCAAACAGAACAGGAGGGGATAATATTAATAAGGGAGCCATCACGAAATCTCCCTGGTCCCCTGGGACCCCCAGGCCTGATCACATAGTTCCTGAAAAATTTTTTTCCCTCTGCAACAGAAAGCTTTGTTTTTCTAACTCATTCTCAAAATGCTATAGATTTTTCTTTAGCAGTGTTTCTGAGCTTCATTATCATCACTAAGCAGCTAAGGGGGGCTGATAGTTTTTTTAAAAACATAATTTTGTGTGTGTGTGTGTTTCTCTTTTACATCTTAACCTAAAAAAGGCCCATGAGAAATTTCTGGGATTTAGTGGCAGAAGCCAGGGAGGCTGCTGACTGCAGGATCTTACTCTAGTGCAATTCCTAGATGATTAGCAGAAGCAAAGGTTTCTCATTTCTAATTAGGACGCTACAGATCCAAGAGAATGTGTGAGTTTGGTTCTAGTACTAATTGCCAATTCCTGCCCCAAGAATGTGCGCACAGACATCCTTATTCTTCATTGGTATCCCATGTATCTAAGTCATTAGTTTAAAGCTAGACTTGGTCTCTGGATTCCACACAATGATTAAAATGCATCCCGCAATCCTGTTCAACCCTTAGCTCTTGGCCTTTTTCCCAAGCCAACAGGAGACCCTGGGACTTTTTGCACACAAAGCATGTTCTCTCCTGCATAATGGCAGCCCTTCCCCACAAGAGACTCGCCTGTGGTGTGCATAACTGACTCTCATGTTCTATGACCCCCAATATAATCTCAACCTACAATGAATGAGGGGATGTGAATCCATGTTTTGACTTTGTACTATAACCTGAACCATCAGCCAACCAACCAACCATCCAACCATGCTGGGTTCAAACAAGCTTAGATGAATTTGCACCATATACTATTGGGCCTCCAAGGGACTGGGTTAAGGGGGTTGGGTGAATGCAGGCAGTGTGTGGCTCTTGTGGTAGGGCTCACTAGCTTTCCTGCTTACCTCCCTGATTCTGTTCATCCATTGTTGTTGCCTCTAGGACATTGGACTGAGTCCCTTGGCCCTGACCCGGGCAGCCAATCCAGTGCCTTGGACAGTGATTCTTGTCAATGCGATTCACCAATCAGGAGCCAGAGAAAAGGGGAATGTAAAGACCAGGCTGATAGCAGGAACACCAATACTTTACCTAGAGATCGGGCAGGTAATGGTGACTGGGGAACGTGGGCTGGGAGACATCAGAAACCTGTAATGTGCCGACAGCAAACTTCAAAGTCTTGAAGAGTCTGGCGCTACATGGTTTTTCAAATTGCTTGCGCAATCATTAAGATCAAATGCAATTTTTTCCCATCAATCAGGTGGACTGGCATGTAGGATGTGGCTTCTTGGTGGTGACTCCAAAACTGGGAGATGCTCTATATTTGGGAGTCTGCCACTCTGTTCCTCCGGCTTTGGGGTATCTGTAAATGGCAGGGTATCCTGCTAGGACAGGAGCTTTTGTATGCAGGGATGTTGAGGGAAAGAATTCTTGAAAGTGGTTGATAGGGCTTGGAAGTGCTGCCTGTAAATTGGGGTGGGGGGGGAGTAGGTTGCAACATAACCCTTCGCAACGTCTCTATATTGCATGCTACTTTGAACTGTTTCCAGAAAAACATATGGGTCATTGAAGCAGCCCATCTTTTTTCAAGCTTCTGCAAGAAAAGGTGCCTCTACTTTCAGTGGCATCTCCTTAAGGCAAAGTTATTTTTGGGGGGTTGCGATGAACAGCTGAGAGGCACTGAGTCCACAGCATTGTTTGCAAATCACTTTGCAAGGGTGCACAACCCTCCTGTTCACCCCCTATTTTTCCGGCAGGGGCCGGACCCATTCAGTTATGGCGCTTTCTGCTGGAGCTCCTCCAAGATGGCTCCTGCCAAGCCTTCATCCGATGGACAGGGAACGACTGGGAGTTCAAGCTCTGTGACCCACATGAGGTGAGTTCCCCCTCGCTCTCCCCTCAGTTATATGACCTGGGGAATTCTGGGAGTTGAAGTCCACACATCTTCAAGCTGCCAAGGTTGAGACCCACTGCCTTAATGGGTTGCCTGAAACCAATTGTGGCTTATTCAACAAATCATGGCTCAGCATTAGGGCATACAAACAGCCACCCTAGGGCTGAACTTGGTCCCTGAGCACCCCAACTCCCCCCGTCAAAGACCAGGAGTTTGCTACCATCTTGAAACCAACTGTACTGGGCATTTAATGGGCCCCATTGCCTCTAAAACTCCATCCTTCTCCTAAACCCAGGGGAGAAATATCCAGGCCCCATCCACGCTGGCCCTCCCCCAATGGTCAAACCTATCTTGGTTTTAGCTTCAGATGCTGCTGTAGCCAGCAGAGGCAAAGGCAATGCTGTCTGTGGATATTGTCTGTGCATAACGGCCCACAACTAGCTGTGCTCGAGTGAGGACTTGGGATAAAATGGGCTTCTGGTTATCAGGCAGCGCCAAGGGACTGCCTACTCATCTCCCCCCCACTGCCCCCCTCCCTCTCATTTCCTGCTAGGTGGCAAGGCGCTGGGGCAAGCGCAAGAACAAGCCGCGCATGACGTACGAGAAACTGAGTCGGGGGCTGCGCTATTATTATCACAAGAACATCATTCACAAGACTAGCGGCCAGCGCTACGTCTACCGCTTTGTCTGTGACATCCAGGGTCTCTTGGCCGAGCTGGATAAGAAACTGCAGATTTAGCATGCAACTGTTGTAAAAAGGACCTTTTTTTCGTTCCTCACCCACCGAACCTCAGAAGAGCTCAGAAGAGCAAGCAGGACCGGCTCCCTTGGAGAAGACCTGTGCCTCCTTTAAGCTATGTCTAAAACAAAAGATGTGAGAAGGGCTGGCTGCGGACTGCATGGGGGGCCCAGGCCCTCTCCAGATTGGGCAGAGCAAAAAATAGTGGTTTTTTTGGGTGGGGGAGATTGTTTTTGTGGGGTAGATAGGTAAAAATAACCCTGAAAAAATAGAACTGGGGTCCTGACTCCTAGCTTCAGAGAAGGCAGGCAGGGAGGTGGCCAATCACACTGGCCAAAACAATAGGATGTTAGCAATGGTTTGGCAGATGAAAGCATGGTTGTTTCTTCTCTCGATCCAAGGGCAGAGAACTGCAAGAGCTGGCAGGATTTGATCAGCATCAAATATCTCGATTTTCATAGACATTTTGGAAAGGGAGGATGACCATTCTTAAGGTTATCTGCTCTTCCCCCCACATTCCCTCCCTCTCCTTTAGCCATTATTAAACCACTTTAAACAGAGCTCTGCCTCTCATAATAGAAAAAGCGGTTCTCCACGGTGGCCTCAACTCTTTCAAACTCCCTTCTGGGGGTGGCCCCTTCTGTCTGGCCCCTTCCCAATTGCTTTTAAGTAGGCCTTAAATATCTGTTTCAGTCTGTGCCTTCAGCGAAGATGATGAGTTGGCTCTTTAAACAGTCACTGCTGTTTTTTAAAGGGCAAAATTATATCGGTCTCGATCGGGAACCTTTGTATGGGGTAGCTGGGAAATGCAGCCTTTGTTTTTATTATACTGATTGTAAACTATGTTAATTCTGAAAGCTGGCATATGAAACCTGAAATAAACTAAAAACCATCATATTCTTACATACCACGTCTACCCAAATCCAAAAGGTTTGGTTTAGCCCACCACGATGTCACTAACTTAACACATTGAGCAAAGGTAGGATCTTAGGCTTTTATGGATTCAGAAGCAGCCCCAATTGTGTGTTGTATGCATTCCACTTTCCCAGCTTCTTGGGAAGCTATGCTCACAGACTAAGCCAGCCTTACAATCTCACATGGAGACAGGAAATTAGCCATCCTCCCGAGATGGCAAAACTGCACTTCCCATCAGCCTGTGCAATGGTGAAGGATGCTGGGAGTTTTAGCTCAGAGGAGAATGCTGGCTAGAATCACATCTCAGCATCCCAGCAAAAAAGAAGTGGACTTTTTTGAAAGAAAGCACTCGCTAGCTCAGCACAGTTCTAAGCAAGGCTGAGGCATCAACTTGTATTCCTACATTTGTGGAATGATGAACTTGTCTTCCCGCTCCTTCAAAACCACGTCAAACTCTGGGGCTGGCCCACCAGAGGAAGGTCAGGAGCAGAGGAAGCCTGCCATTTTACCAAACACTCGTACCTTTTGTGCAGTACCATCAGTTTATGCTTCAAGGAAACGCTGCTCTTTTGGGAGGAAGGTGAAAAAACTAACAAATCAAATGAGACCAGAGTTTGCCCCATCACGAAGGAGAGAATGAAAAAGCTAGTTCTAACAACAGAGAAAGAGCAAGATGCATTTTTCCGTTAGCTATTATGGAAGGAAACAGGTTAGAAAAAGTTAAAGCCAGATAAATTAAGAGGCGATACGCTTAATATTTATTTCAAAGAATTAGAAAATACATAGGCTCTACTTGTTGAGATGTAGCTTCAACATTACTTCCTCCCCCACCCACCCCCGAAAAAAAAAAAGGGGAGACGGAGAGAAGGGTGAGGTGCAGAAAACTGCTTAGCCCCTTTAACACAATTAAGATCTATCTTTTAGCAGCCGGATGGAAGCCAACGCATAATCGCTCCGTCCTCCATGCGCTGCCTAGATGCCCCTCGCTGTCAACGAGCACCCACCAGCTTCTCAGATTTATTCCCAGCAGTTCACAGCAGGGTTGCCTTTTAACCTAGCCCGGGTTTGGGCTAACTCTCAGAGCCAGATCTGCTGCTGCTGCAGTATCTTGGCAGCCAAGGTCCAGCGCTCCAGCCACTGTTGCAATGTGAAGCCGTGGCGGCGCTCGTTGGGGAGAACAAACTGTCCTGGCTGTTCCCACCTAGACAGAGAGAAAAAGACAAAAGATGTACAAATGGGGCACCTCCTCTCTCTTTGACCAGGCCCTCTAATACCTGCTGGCATCCCTGTTGCCTTCCCTTCACTCACCAGGCATCCACAACGGCTTGGATTTCAGGCCAACACTCTATGCGACACCGGCACTGATCTATCATGCACTGGACACGGGGCAGAAGCTCAAACGCTTGTTTCTGATCGTGGGACTGCACCTCTCCCACTAAGGCTAGGGACGGAGGAGAAAAACACTGTACCCATTTATTTCTACCCCAAGCTTGAAAGGAAGAACACACTCAACGTGGCTTGGAAGATAAATAAATGAGTACAACACGGCAAAAAGAATAGAAAACAGAAAACACATTCAACTAAACCAGCAACATAAAATACATCTCAACACAACTTCAATATCAATGATAACTGACATTAAAAATGCCTTAATGGGCCACTTCTCATTATCCAAAATTAGGCATTCCATTTGGAGTGCCATAAAATCGGAGGTGCTACCAAGAAAGCTCCATCCACAGAATAAGAGTTGACCTAAAGGGTCCAACGCCCGACACATTGCAGGATCCACTGGGACTTGTAATGAAAAACCACCCAAAATGGGGGTGACCACTTGCTGGTTGGGGTATACAATGCATGGAGAAATATTATCAAATGTTCACCTCCCAGTGTAGCTTCTGGATTTGTGGGGGTAGGATGGGGTAGTGTCTCCTTTTGCTTACGGGACTGGGGCAGGAAGAGAGAAGGACTGGAATTTTGAAACAAGATATGACCTCTGTTTTTGAAAACTTCAACAAAAGGACAGGGTGGTCACTAAGAAGAAGCAGGAAGAGCAAATGTTTGGGAGAAGATTGCATACTTGGTACATCAGGCTCTGGCGCATTATCCAGCTGGTGCTGCAGGTTTCCCAAGGCTCTTTGTTTGGAGCCCAACTGGGCATGCAGGTAAGCGAGCATCTTCTTCAGCTCCACCATATGGAGAAGAAGCTGTTCAGGAGCCTAAAGAGAGGTTAAGAAAGCAGAGGCACAAGGGTGAGAAAGAACACACACAGATACCATGTGTACGACATTGCATGGATCACAGGAACGTGAAAAGTTATCTTAGACCAGCTCAATATGGAATACAATTCAACAGAGGCAAATACAACATTCTTCACTTAGAAAAAAGAAATCAATGCAACATCATAGGCTTGGGGATATCTAGTACGGTGATAGCATATATGGAAAAGATTTTGGAACTTAGTTGAGCACAAGCTGAATACTGAGTCAACACTATAATATGACTGTAAATGAGGCAAATTCAGTCTTTGGGTACATCTATAGAATCATGCTCAAATCACATGACTGGTACATAATAGACATATCTGGCTCAGGTTAGAACCTCACTTGAGCACTATATCCTATGTGCCATATTTTATACTGGAACAGTGCAAAGATGAGCAGTGAGAATGATCAGAAGACTAAGTCCTCCAAGGAGATCCCAAGGTTATATTTAGCCTTGAGAAGAAAAGATGGAGGGAGAGAGAGAACCTGGAAGTTTCACATAGAAGGAAGCCAAGACTAGTTCTCTACATCCCAGAAGACAACTGTCAGGCTTCCCAGATACACCAGATAGGAAACACAACCAGATGAGCTAATTCTCCTTTATTGTAAGACTACATTAACAGAATCCTGCAAATCTGAAAGTACAAATCTCCCGTTGACTTTTTTTATAGCCTGATAAGTTAGAGAGGTTCCTTTCTGAGTTTCTTTCTCTGCTCATTATGCAGCTGCGGGCTGCCCCCCTCTTATCTGATTGTTCCCTAGGCAGCATCTCTCCCTCTCCCCCTGGTCTCCGAAGGTCATTCCCACATACCCTTACAATAATGCATCAAATAATGGACTTGAGCTACAATTGAATGTTAGGGAAAGTTCAACATTTGGACCAAGGACCCAAAACATTTCCACCATCTACAGCACACAGCAATCTCTGCATCACCTACTTAAAAAGGTAAAGATGCCTTCTAACTTCTGAGATCAGCCAAGGATCAACTACACGGTCCTTTTAAACTTGCTAAAGATGGGGCTTTCTACATGCTCTGATCCATTATTGCATGCACATGCAACCTGAGACCCTGTAGTGGCTCTCCAAAGCTTTGGACAGGGCCCCAGGGCTCCTCCCAAAATCAACTTAGTAGTTTTCAATGTGCCTAAACAGGAAAATGACCACAGGAAGCCACTGTATCAGTTGTAGTGAATGAAACGTATACTCCATCACTCAGATTTTTGCTTGCTGCACTTGCCCCTTGGCACACCACAGGACAAGCGTGGCTTTTGCCACCCCTTCCTTCCCCCTGCTCCCAAAGTCTGCCCCTACTCCCTGCATGATTAAGATGGAAGATGGAAGGCAGGGTAAACAGAAGGTTCTCTAAAACAATCCAACTGAATTCGATTTGTCTAGTTTTTCTAGATGCATTCAGCAAATCCCACCAGGGAGGCACATCATACCTTATAAAGGGGAAAGTTGGCTCCATTGCACACATTAAGGAAGGCCCGGTTTTCAGCTGGTGCCGTCCGGCTTAAGCAATGGATAGAAAGTTTGTGGGCTGGGATATGTTGAGACCTGGAAAACAATGGCAGAAAGGGCTTTTCCCCTGTAATTGGACTTACACTACACTGACCATAACGAAGGAATGCCAGCCCTCTGTGCTTAAAAAGAAATTCTGAACCTATTTTGTTCAGAAAATAAAAAATAAAATCTAGAGGCAAAAATGTTCCTGAATTTTGCATCAAGGAAAGGCCAAGGAAAGTAAAAATTAAGTTCTCCAGTGGATCTCCTTTGTAGGAAATGACACTCAGGAGAAGAGAAGCAGGATTATTTGATTGCTATTACTGACAGACCAGCTGCTTTTCGTCCTCCCCCACCAAATGGCAGTCACTCCCTCAAGTCATCTAAGTCATTTCTCCCAGCTGATTTATTTCTTGAAGGACAGGAGAAAAAGGGATACTATATAGGGCTCTTTAGAGCATCGCTTGCTTTGGAAAAAGAAGTCTCTGGAAAACGGACTCAAAACATTTTTTGACCCCCAACCCAGAGTTACACCCAGCCACAGGGAGACGCCTGGGCATGACTCACCCAGCTATCTGACGGGTCAGCAGACAAGGCAGGGCAATGGCTTTGAATTGCTGGACCTCCCGGCCAACCCTGTTGTGAAGCTGCTGTGTCTCCAGCTCCACCTGTTGAGCCTCAGGGAGCAGCTTTTTCTGTATGAAATCCTGGATCTTAAGGAGAGGCACACTAAGTCAATCGGGTTCCAAATAAAGCACAGAAATTATTCTCAATGAAGCAGTTTGCCAGTAAGTCCCACTGCTTCTTAAAAAGGGTTGTGGTTTCATAGCAGAGGGTGTAATTTGTAGGGTGAAGGTTTGAAATCTTAATATCTCAAGTCTTAAAGAAAGGGTCAGATGGGTGATGGACAAAGGCCTCTGAAAGATGTGGTGGGTGGAAATCTCACCTCTGCCTGGTCCTTGCGAAGCTGGGATTTGATAAATGAATTGCCCTTGATAAGGGCCCGAATGTGTTGCTGTTTCTCATTCTGTGGGAGGAAAGCAGAGAAATAGACCCACAGGGTAAAAGTCCCTTGAAGAACCATCCCATTTCCCCCAACCCCAGGAGCTTGACTTGAAGGAGTTTTTACTTTTTTCAAAGTATTTTCATAACACAAATATGTATGCATTCTTAAAAATTAAAACGCTTTTAAAAACTTAACAAGGCCAAAACTCGCAAGATCTGGAT